TGATTTCTGAATGTTTTTAATTTACAGAAAGCAAATAGTGGAAAACTCAGTTCATATTTGCACACTTTGTAGTAAACTTCCGTTCTCCTGAGAAGGAACTCAGAGGAGACCTCGTATGGCACTAATTTTCACTTTCCCACATCTTGACTCAACCGGTAAAGGATGCACACCGGGAAGTTACAGCTCATCAGCTAGCACGGTGGTGGAAATCAAACGTGGGGTTCTGCTGTCTGGCGCTCCCGCTGGAGGTGAATTCCTGGGCAGACAGGTCTGCTTCAGAGCTGATCCAGAGCCTCCGCCCCAGAGGGCCAGGAGGAACCAGGGACGGGGCTGGGCGACTCCACTCTGAAGGGGCAATGGCGGGGCAGGTGGAAATGCCCACCCGGAAGAGACTGGAGACAAAACACAGCTCTCCACGTTTCCGCTGCTGACCGTGGATGGGTCACTTGTCTCTAGAACTTCAGGCTTGAGGAGGGGAAGGGCAGGACTTCCCTGGCAGTCCAGTGGTTAAGACCTCACCTTCCAATTCAGGAGGTGCAAATTCAGTCCCTGGTCAGGGAGCTAAGATCCCATATGCCTCATGGACAAAAAAACCAAAACCTGAAACTGAAGCAACATCATAACAAAGTCAAGAAAGACTTTAAAAGTGGTCCACATCCAAAAAAAAAATCTTTTTATAAAAGTGGTAGCCATATCCCACCCCCGACAAAAGTTCTTTAAGGACTAACGTGAACTTCGGCACCAAGTCTGTACCATTTGTGCAACCTTAAACAACAGCAGCTTACATAGATGGGGATGCATTCTTTTCCCCTCTTTATCAATTTTCCTGCTTTGATTCTTGCCCTGATAATCCACACACAAGCCAAAGTGATACAAGTGAGTGGGACTGTGTCTCTCTTTCTCAAAACCCTCACGCTTGGGGTAAAAGTCACCTGACCCCTTTCCCCCTTTCTCTTTCTGGCCTCCTTGCTGGTCCTTGCAAGGACCTGCCAGCTCCCTCAGCCATCTCACTCCTTCCCCCGGAAGTCCAGTGGCTTGCTGCCTCTCTTCTTCAAGTCTTTGCTGAAAGGTCACATCATCAGTCCCTAACCACCCTGTTGAATGCTTACAATTACCCTCCCAGGTACTTATTAATGTTAGAAGGAGGCTTATAGAGTGAAATAACCTGCTGAAGTCTCGTGGTGAGTGGCTGCATGAATCAGGACACCAGCAGTGTGTGGCAGACAACAAGGAGCCCAGCTCAAATCGCCCTGAGCAACAAAGGGTGTTTTTCAGCCTGTGTAACTGAAGCCCAGTAGAATGTGGCTTCAGGCAGGGTTTGATCAGGCTTTGGCACCATTTCTCTGCTGTCCTTGCAGCTCTGCCTTCTCCAAGGATAGGCTGCTTCTTTAGGTTGTCTTTCTTTGTGGCAGCCAACGGCTTCTACAGTTTGGGGCAGGGGTCATATCCCCACATCACACCGGCCAAAGGCAGAGAATATCACTTTAGATAGCTTCTGGAAGGAAAAAGAAGAAAACTTTTCTTTTCCTGCACCCACTAGAAAATCATCTCCCCAGTTTTCACAGGCCCCGATTGGTTCATATGCTCAGCCTGAGCCAACTATTAAAGCCACCTGGAGTCATGTGCTCCATCCCAAAGCCAAATTAAATGCAAAAGAGACTTTTAGAATGATCCATGGAGTATGATCTCTTTATTGCAAGAACAAACCGAAGTCCTGTGATATGTGGATATACATTTGCATAAGCAAAAGCGAGAAAGAATGGAGGAGCTGAATGAATCAGTGTGGTTATATGGCAGGAAGAGGAGACCCTAGGATGTTGAAAGGAGAGACTCAAAACACGTATTTGTATTCAATGATTTATTATAATGAGCTGGCGTTACTTTCATCATGCAAATATTAAAGAATTTTAAGAGTGGGAGAAACGAAAGGGAACCACATAAAAGCCACCCTTATTCTAAGATTCCAGAATTCCCTCCCATGGGTACTGCTGTGCTTGGAACTGTGCAGGTGTGGGGTGCAGAAACACTCAGGTGTCCACCTACTTGCACATACCTCCCAGTCTGAAACAGTGCTTGAATTAATTGTTTGTTAGTATTAGAACTGAGGCAATGAAAGGGTGCGGGGGTGAACTGGCCCCAGCTGGGGATGGGACTGGAGCCACACCTTGGCAGGATAATGCTGCTAAGAGCAATGCTTATAGAAAATGCCCTAGCTGTTGTGTGTCAGTATGCTGTAATCATTTCTTGTGTATTAATTCTCTGACTCCTCCCAACAGCCCTCTGAGATGGATATTTTGTTATCATCCCCATTTTACAGATGAGCAAACCGAGCCTCAGGGAGCTTATTTGCCCAAGGTCACACAGCTGGTCACAACAAAGATAAGATCCAAACCAAGGCAGCCTGGTTCAGAGTCCGTGCACCCAGCAACTGCAGCGCATTGCCTCTCTGCAGATCAGACCAGGGATGACTGAATGGGGAGGCTCACCCCAGCCCCAGAGGCAGGAGCAGGCTGGATATGTTCTAGGGATGCTCCCTGGGTGGGGACACTGTGTGTCTGGCCAGAAAGGGTTCCCAGCCAAGGCCTGGCTGGGTGACTGAAGTTTCATCCACAAGCACCTGAAGAGTACTACTGGGTACCTTCTGCTGCATCCCACCTGGGGGCACCAGACAGAGCTCCTGGCAGAGCAGGCTGGTCACACACAAGTCCTGGCAGTTGAGCCTAAGATTTGGGATTTGCACGTGACACTGATGGTGCTTTTTCTGTCCACCAAGGCTGATCACATCAAGCATGCCTCTCCCATGAGCTTCTCAGCAGTGCTCTTTGCCCCTGCTCTAGCGGGGATCTGTCCATCTCTTGGAGGTGCCCGCTGGGTCCTCCCAATGTCCCAGTTTTGCATAAGTCACCGACTCACATATTTAAGCCCCACCATCCCAAGCATATTTCTCTAATTTGGTGAAAATCCAACCATTTTCATATGATATGATCACAAATAGAAATGTGAGTGCATTTATATCAGGTATGCAAGGGTCTCAGAGCTGGTTTTATTTTAAAATAATGTAGTGCTTTACAATTTTCAGAAGTTTCACACCCATGATTGCTTATAATCCCATAATATCACTTTTTAAAGTCCCCCTTTATTGCCCCTACCCCCTTCCCTCTCCCCGCTGGTGATCACTAGTTTGTTCTCTGGATCTGTGAGTCTGCTTCCTTTTTGTTTTAGTCACCATTTTATTGTACGGTTTTGTATTGTATTCCACATATATGTGATATCATACAGTATTTGTCTTTGTCAACTTATTTCACTTAGCATAAGGCCCTCCAGGTCCATCCATGTTGCTTCAAATGGCAAATTTTCATTATTTTTTTTCAAGGCTGAATAGTGTTCCATTATATATGTAAACCACATACCCATTATATATCTAAACCACAATGTTGCTTCTTTACGCCTTCATCTGTTGATGGTCAGAGCTGGTTTTATTGTAGGCTCCCAGATTCCCTGGAGAACCAATGCTGACTATTTGGATTTTCCTCCTTCTCCCCTCCCACTTTCCTTCTGACACTGTCTTTTCTCGCTTCACCCCCACATCTCCTTGTCTGCTTCCTCCTTGTCCCTCTTCCTTCCCTCTTAGCGTATTTGACACCCATGTCCCATCTGCTGCCATTATTTTAGTCTGGATGGAAAGTGGTTTCCGCCCTCAAGCCACCTGCCTACTCAGTTCATCAGTATCATACTAAGGCCCCCACTGACCAGAGCAGTTGGGCAGAACAAGGTGTCCCCAGGGCGTGAGTATCCTCTCTTTACACCCCCTCCCCCACCTACTGCTTTCCTGAGAGAAGGAGTCTGGTCTCACGAGTCTCATTTATTTATCAGAAGCTTCCACTCTCTGGACCAGTGCCTCTAAACTTTAACATTTTTATTATATCCTCAATACAAATACATTTATTTATAAATATGATGCGTATACCACTGAAAACATTATAAAACTTCTGCATAAAATAGACTTATTTCACCTTACATACTTATATGTGTGTGTATATATAATCTATTTTTTGGAGGGTGAGAATATTTGAGTTCTACTCTCTTAGCAAATCTTAATTATACAATGCAGCATTATCAACTATAGTCACCATGTTTTCCATTTTCCTTGAACGTTATTCATCTTAGAGTTGAAAGTTGGTATCCTATTACCAACCTTTTCCTATTTCCCCCTCCTCTGGCCCCTGGCAACCACTTTTCTACTCTCTGTTTCTGTAAGTTTGGCTTTTTTTTTTTTCTTTTTTAGATTCCACATACAAGTGAGACTGTGCAGTATCTGTCCTTCTTTGTCTGACTTCTCACTTAGCATAATGCCCTCCAGGTCCAGCCTGATTGTCCCAAATGACAGAAGGTCCTTCTTTCTCAAGGCTGAGTAAATTCCGTTGTATACACACCCACACCTTGATCCTTTGATGGACGCGTAGGTTACTTCCATGGCTTTAGTTCAGTCACTCAGTCGTGTCTGACTCTTTGCGACTCCAAGGACTGCAGCACGCCAGGCTTCCCTGGCCATCACCAACTCCCAGAGATTGCTTAAATTCTTGTCCATTGAATTGGTGACGCCATCTAACCATCTCATCCTCTGTCATCCCCTTTTCTCCCCACCTTCAATCTTTCCCAGCATCAGGGTCTTTTCCAATGAGTCAGCTCTTCACATCAGGTGGCCAAAGTATTGGAGTTTCAGCTTCAGCATCAGTCCTTCCAATGAATATTCAGGACTGATTTTCTTTAGGATTGACTTGTGATTATGATTCCACTTATTATTATGATTCCATAGCTTGGCTACTGTCAGTGATGCTGCCCCAAACAGACACTGCCTCAAACAAACAAACAAATGTAAATAAAAGTTCTAATATTTTTTTCCTGTAGTGCCCCCTTGCAGACCAGTGTTAAATCAGACAGGAGATAACCCAGCTGCCTGCAGCTCTTGCTAACTGCTTTTTCTGATTCTCTGTCTCCAGGACACGTTCACATCACAGACTTCAACATAGCGACAGTCGTGAAAGGCGCAGAAAAGGCTTCCTCCATGGCCGGGACCAAGCCCTACATGGGTGAGTGTTCCAGGCCCCTCAAGCCTCAGAGTTCCTCTCCTGCTACATCCCACCCCTCCCTCACCCCGCCTCCCACCCTCACCCCGCCTCCCACCCCCACACCAGACCCCAGCCATGCTCTCTCACGCCTTTGGCCCTTACCTAAGCCGTCTGCCTTGCCAGAAAGACCTCCTCCTCTGTTTTCTAAAGAACGCTTACTCGGTCAGGAAGGTTGGCTCAGTTCAGTTCAATTCAGTCGCTCAGTCGTGTCCGACTCTTTGCAAACCCATGAACCGCAGCACGCCAGGCCTCCCTGTCCATCACCAACTCCCAGAGTTCACCCAAACCCATGTACATTGAGTTGGTGATGCCATCCAACCGTCTCATCTTCTGTCATCCCCTTCTCCTCCTGCCCTCAATCTTTCCCAGCATCAGGGTCTTTTCCAATGAGTCAGCTCTTTCCATCAGGTGGCCCAGTATTGGAGTTTCAGCTTCAACATCAGTCCTACCAATGAACACCCAGGACTGATCTCCTTTAGGATGGACTGGTTGGATCTCCTTGCAGTCCAAAGGACTCTCAAGAGTCTTCTCCAACACCACAGTTCAAAAGCATCAATTCTTCGGCGCTCAGCTTTATTTATAGTCCAACTCTCACATCCATACATGACTTCTGGAAAAACCATAGCCTTGGCTAGATGGACCTTTGTTGACAAAGTAATGTCTCTGCTTTTTAACATGCTGTCTAGATTGGACATAATTTTCCTTCCAAGGAGTAAACGTGTTTTAATTTCATGGCTGTAGTCATCATCTGCAGTGATTTTGGAGCCCAAGAAAATAAAGTCTGTCACTGTTTCTATTGTTTCCCCATCTATTTGCCATGAAGTGATGGGACCGGATGCCATGATCTTGGTTTTCTGAATGTTGAGCTTTAAGCCAACCTTTTCACTCTCTTCTTTCACTTTCATCAAGAGGCTCTTCAGTTCTTCTTCACTTTCTGCCATAAAGGTGGTATCATCTGCATATCTGAAGTTATTGATATTTCTCCCAGAAATCTTGATTCCAGTTTGGCTCAAGCTTAGGAAAATCAAGCGACAAACCCTTCTTCTTTTTCATTAAAGTCCAGCAGTGTTGCCAGAATACAGTTTTGTTGTTGGTCACTGCAGGTCTATATTCTTAGGTACACATTGCTCTTCCAGTGTAGTTTCAGGTTAGTTTTTCTGTTGGACTTTGGATGGAAATGTCGTATTGCATCGAGTCTTAGTTTTGAGGGCTCCCCAAGTGGCTTAGTGTTAAAGAACCCGCCTACCGATGCAGGAGACATAAGAGACATGGGTCTGATCCCTGGGTCAGGAAGATCTCCTGGAGGAGGGCATGAAAACCCACTTCAGTGTTCTTGCCTGGAAAATCCCATGGACAGAAAAGCTTGGTGGGCTACAATCCATGGGGTCACAGAGTCAGATGCAACTGAAGTGACTTAGAGCACACACAAGTTGTGGGATATTTAGTTGCGGCATGCAGGATCTAGTTCTCCCACCAGGGATGAAACCCAGAACCCCTGCATTGGGAACATGGAGTTGTAGCCACTGGACCACAGGGAAGCTCCCAGAAATGTCTTTTGCTTTAAAACACATTCTGTTCTTTTACTTTCTTTTCTTTGCTAAGGATCTTTATTATCTGAATGTTGAGTCTTCTTTGCCAATCCTCAACATTTGCCATTTTCAAATCTTTTGTCTTTCTTCCTATGTTCAAGTTGTTTCTCAAATTTTTTTCTTTCTCTTTATTTTTAAAGCAATGTCTGTTGTGTTTATTTGTTTTGTGTGCTTTCTCGTGAAGTATTTATTTCTGAAATAATTTTCCTTTTGTTGCTAATGTTTTTCATGAGTCCTCTTATGAGATTTCTGAGTATTTAAATTATAGTTTACGTGTTCTTTCATGTCTTGCATAATTTTATTGTCTATTTTATTCATTTTTAATGTCTACATAGTTATCAATTGCTGATGACAAACCATGTCAAAACCTAGATATTTAGAACAGTAGCAATCTTTTATTTATCACATCTGCCACTTGATTGAGTGGTTTTTCTGCTGGTTTTGGCTAGGCCCACTCATTCAGCTGTCGGGCCAGCCAGGACACCTGAAATGAACAGGCCCCTCTCTCTGCATGGTCTTTTATCATCAAGGAGACTAAAGTGAACTTGCTCACATGATGGCAGAGGTTTTAAAAAGGAAAACCCAACTCTCAAGTGCCTCCCAACCCTCTGCTTGCTTCACATTTCCTGATGTCCAATTGGCCGAAGCAAGCCACATGACAACGACCAGGGCCCACGTGGGAGGGGACTGCATAGAGTGTGGGTACCAGATGGCCTGATTCATTGGGAACCATTCATGAAACAATCCACCACACTGTCTTTTCTGAGGAGCTTTCACTGTCCAGTGTTGTTCTGCTTGCCATTATCCTTTCTGTTACCATCACTTTGCATGGAATTTCACGTAATGTTGGTTTTCCTGAATCTTTAGAAGATGGTATGGCTCAGGGTAACTTTTCTAACCGACCTGCCTCTTCTTCTGTTGTCTGTGTGATATGTCGTGTCCCTAGACAGCTTGCTACCTGGGATTTCCTGGCCTAGTCCTCTCGCCCACTTCCATCTGGACTTCCCCTTTCTTTCATCTGTAGGGCCCCCATCCTGCTTAGTTTTGATTTCACTGCGAACAGTTTCTCCTTGGGATCCTTCCTAGAAGAGAGCTCTGGCTGGATTGATTGAAGGGATTTTGTGGCCCGGACTCCAACTTCTGCAGAACTCACCAAGGACATTTCTCATTCACCTGAGATGGGGCTGGACAAGCCTCTCCCTGTTTCAGCTGCTGTTTTCAGACTGACTATTCTTTCCAGTCAGTGTCTGCTGGCTCTTTTGGAGTTCTCTGTCCTGTGGTCCATCATCAGCTGTGTTATTTTTATACAGAAATCACTGCCATAGAGGGCTTATCACTGTTGCTGGTTTGTTCCCATCTGCTTATATTTTGGGGTTTGTGGGAGCAACTTAGCTTTGTAGTAAGTGTTGCCCATGGTTTTTGCTTTATCTTGTATCTGTTCTGCCAGTGTTTATATGTGGATTGTGGAGATTCGAGAACTATGTCATCACGTCTCCAGAATTGACTCTTTGTGTTATTTATCATTAACTTAATAAATAAATTACATAAATGAAGTTTGACAATAAATAATAGTAAAACAATACTTTTTAGTATTTACTATGTGCCAGGCACTCTATCCATAACCTTATTTAAGCCTCGTAAACATGCGTGCATGCTTAGTCACTTCAGTTGTGCCTGACTCTTTGTGACCCTGGACTGTAGCCTGCCAAGCTTCTGTGTCCATGGGATTCTCCAGGCAAGAATTGTGGAGTGGGTTGCCATGCCCTCCTCCAGGGGATCTTCCCGACCTGGGCATTGAACTCATGTCTCTTATGTCTCCTGCATGTGCAGGCAGATTTTTTACCACTAGCGTCACCTGGGAAGCCATTCATAAACATAAAGTAGGCACAATTATTTATTCCCATTTTTAGAGTCAAGAAAATGGGGTGAGAGTTAGGTGACCTGCCCAGGTCGACATCAGGGGTGAGAGCAGAGCCAAGCCGGTGTGAACAGCAGAGAGTTTACATATGAGCGGATCTGTCTAATTCAGAGTCCCCTTGGGCTGCTGAGTACAGACCCCAGTACAGCTTTCATTGTTGATGATCTTTCTGAAATTCCTTTCCAGAAGAATCCAGATCTGGGGCAGTTCTATCCAAGGAGTTCACTGCATTAAGATCCAACAGAGATCAGATGGGCAGGACTTAGAGATACAGAATGGCGGTGGAGGAGGGGGCAAGGCTGCCTCCAGGCCTCGGGGTCTAGCAGCAGAGTGGATTCCAGGGGGGCTCCCGTGCAGAGAACACCACAGAAGGAGCGAGTGCGAGGGATGGTAGGAAGGATGGATGAAGGTGAGGTGTCTGTAGGAACTTCCAGACATTCAGATGTACTCCAAGCATCTGGAGAGTGATGTGGACTCAGTCTGTGCATTGACAGTTAGCAGCATGGAGATGCAGCAAAGCCAAGGCAGTGGGAGAGAAAAGCACTGATTCTAAGCCCAGGAGCATCTTCCTAGAAGGGGTAGAGAGAGGCCAGAAGAGTCATCATCTGCGGAGGGATCGTGGTGGAGAGGGGTGACAGAAGAATCCCATTTGGAGCTGCCTCCATAATCCTATAGATTAGTTCCCACTGCCTTTAGGCTATTTCCAAAAAGCAAATTGATCGCAAGGAAATTGGGTTCTTGACCACTAGAGAGGTTCAAGACAGTATTCTCCCAATGCTGACTTTTCGGCCCCTGCTTTACTGCCATTCAAAGCAGATTTTCCTGGGCTGCCTTGGCTTCGCACTCCTGTCTGAGGCTCCTTTCATCATCACATGTCTATCATCGCATTTAATCCCCAGAAGATCCACGAGAGCTTTCTACATCTCTCTTGTTTTATCTAAGAGTAACCTGAGGCCCAGAGAGGTTAACTAACCTACACTGAATCACACAGCTGCCAAGGGATAGAGCCAGAATTTGAAGCCACATCTATATGGGCCTGAAGTCCCTGCCTTTTAAAAAAAAAAGTTTTTATTGAAACATAGTTGATTTATGATTTTATGTTAGTTTCAGGTATACAACAAAGTGATTCAGTTACACATGTATATATATACATATATATATATGGAAAGAGAATGTTAAAAGCAATGTATTATTTTTAACATTCTCTTTCCTTATAGGTTATTACAACATATTGAGTATAGTTCTCTTCATCATGTAGTAGGTCCTTGTTGGTTATCTATTTTATATATTAGTAGTATGTATATGTTTATCCCAAACTCCTAATTTATCCCTCCGCCACTTCCCCTGGGTAACCATAAGCTTTTTATGTTTATAAATCTATTTCTGTTTTGTAAATAAGTTTATTTGTATCTTTTTTTTTATTCCACATATAAGCAATATCATATAGTATTTGT